CTAAGGTTTCATTTCCTCTTCTACTTCCTAAAGTGCTCTTCTGTGTACAATTTGTTTCTCCTTATAACTACTCAAAAAGTCACCCACATTTTATACAAAGCATCCAGAGCCCAGGTACCAGTTGTTCTTACAGTAGCCATCAGTCCCTACATGTAACTGATGTTTTTTGCATATGCTTACAACAATACCTATGCTTGGGGAATAGAAATTCATCTCATACAGGAATCATGTGACTTTCTGGGAGAAATATTTAGGTAGACAAGTTCCTTACTTAGGCACAATGTACAGAAAAAAAGTTGAGATACGATGGGAAGAGAATCATAACACTTTATTAAAAAACTGATTGTGCCTCATCTATAATAATAAAAGGGTAATATGCTAATTAAATTAGACTGGATGTCCTTCCTGATGAAGCCGGGGCTGGAGAGAAGCCAGCCCACGTCCTGGGTGCCTGTGGGAAGCCCTAAGGAAGCCAGGTCCTGGGTGCCAGTGGGTGGCTGGAGGAGGGTAATGGAGGGAAGCCTGTGCTGGTAGCCAGGGGAATGAAGGCCTACTCTTGCATGAATTTTCATGCACCGGGCCCCTAGTCCTATATACTAAAAGGCTAATATGCAAATCGACTGAACAGTGGAATGACCAGTTGCTATGACGCACACCTACCACCAGGGGGCAGGCACTCAACACAGGAGCTGCACCCTGGTGGTCAGTGTGCTCCCACAGGGGGAGCACCGCTCACCCAGAAGCCAGGCTCATGGCTGGCAAGCGCAGCGGGGAGCGGGCCTAAGCCATCATTCGGACATTACCCGAGAGTTCCAGGACTGCGAGAGGGCACAGGCTGGGCTCTGCCCCCACCCCCCCGCCCAGTGCATGAATTTTGTTCACTGGGCCTCTAGTATAACATAAACTCTCCACTTAAGCAAGGTATTCTTGCCTATTTGAAAATAATCTCTTCACCTAAACAAAAATGTTTTAGCTCTAATTATTTTTTCTTTACAAAACTACTTAGTTACAATGAGACACATTGCAGTCCACTGCTCATAGCATAGCCAATTATAAACTAGGGTCTTCCATCTTCATAAAGCTGGAATGACAAAGGCTGTGGATCTTTCCCTTCACTTTAGTTCTACTGCTGTGAGCCCAGATTTAGTCACCTGGAAGAGCCTCTGTAGTTTCTGCAGTTAATTAAATGATGTGAAGAAATACATTTATTCCATAACATTGATTCTACCTTATACAGAAACTATCATATTAACATGGCACTAAGAAATATGGCTATTTATAACTGGTCTGTGTATCCAAGGAAGAAAAATTATATTCAGGGTCATCTTCTCTTGTTTGGATACAAGAATATATTCTTCCCCAAATGATTTATTTGCAAGGAGCAGAAGGGAGTCATATTTTAATTAAAACTTTTTGGATTCCTCCCTTTCTGCCCCCCACTTTTGGGCTTCCTTTTTAGAAGTAACAATACAGAAAAAGGAAGTTCTCACATGCCTCAAGTAAGGTTCCTTTTATATAAATTATTGAGGCCTTTGGATGGATATAAGCTATATAGGGACTTCACTTTCATATGGAAAAAACAGGCTCCTGTCCCTCCCACCCCACATGTAAAAGCACACTTAATATAATGCATGTAGTCAAAGCCATGGGCTGGGGAGGAGGAGCAAAAGGGGACCATGCTTGGTTCACCTTTCTCCTGGCCTAAGTGGGCCTCTGCACTCTGCGCGGGGACACTGGGGAGCACACTAGAGGTAGTCCACTGTGAGCTGAACAAAGGATGCTCATAGTACTCCTCATCGGAATTGGAAGGGTCATCCTCAGGCACAGACACCGAGATGGAGGGGACAAGGAGTCTACGCCTCTTCCCGCTGGTGGCAGGTTCGTGGCTGGGGAACCTGTGTAGAGGACCCACTTGATCCTCAGCCCCTTCATCTACAAACAGACACACAGGAAGAAACTGCAGGGAGAACTGGACAAGACAGACACAAGATCAGACAGACAGACAACACCTGCACAAGGACACAAAGGGCCATGGGAGCAGCACAGCAGAGAAGGATTAGCAAGACCAAGCTGATGGGATGGGAGACAGTGAATGTTTCATGCTTCAGGAGCCACTGAATCGAAACTATCCCTCAAATAATCTTGTAATTGATCTAATGAATCAAATGCACTGACACCCTGCTGCATAATAGACCTTATCTATACATTCCCCTCAAACAAGTCAGAATAAGCAAGGAAACATTGGCATAGACACAGATTACAAAAAAAAATGCATGCTTTGGAAGATATCCTTTCAAGTAGATTAATTTCTCTTGTGTTTATATCAATTTATTTATAGGTGAAAAAAAGAAGGTAGTTAAGATCTTTTAATGATGGGGGGGAAATAGTCCTGCTTGAAGCACAACCTTAATTATCTGGGATGCTCACATAGTTAGCATTTTTGTTAAATTTAATTTTTAGTTTCCGATTTTAATCAGAAAGTAATGCTTAATTTCAATCTTGTTAAGAAAAATCTACAATGCATTATTTTTCTTCCCTGCCTGGCTAAGAAAAGTGCAGTCAGCATGGTTTTCTCTTTGGATGCTAAGTCCTAGAGGCATCCTTTTGAACATC